GCCTGCGGCCGCGCGCTCGTCCTTCGATTCCTTAAATATATACGATGTAATGTTATCGCCCAAGGTTCAGCGGCGTGCAGCCGCGCCCATACGCGCGAACAAACCTTACGAGCATAACTCTTCCCGTACTGTAAGATACTTTTAAGATGCTCTTCAGGAAATCACCGTATCATCGAAATTAGAAAAGATTGCATCAAGAGGAATGTTCTCTTCAGGAAATCTTCAAAAAGCCTCAAAAGATAAGAGTCATTTATCTTATCCAAGCGTAGATGGGATTTGGACCTTAGAGATCCTTCAGATCGAATGACTACCGTATGGTACTGCGCCACCTTCGAAGAGAGTCCTCTGCAACCCAAAGTATCCTGTTTGGCGAGCTATGAGCGGTAAGGTGCAATACATATGGAAACAAGAGGAGATATTAAGAGGATTTTCATCTTCAATTAAGAACGCAGTTCCACAATGAAATAATAAAGTAAGTTTATCGTAAGAGGAATATGGTTCCACCACGAAATAGGACATTGCAAAAAGAGAAACTTGTTGACAGGTTTTTCCTGTTAAAGGGCGGCACTGGAAGAATTCCCAAGCGAATATCCATCGCAGCTATCGAAACGCAACATTGTTTCCAAAAGAGGAGAGGTGTCGCTACCGCACAACTCAGCGCGGCGGTGCCTGTTTACAGTGTACACGGCAACAGGCACTTGGGTCCTGGGATCGAGCGCACTGAATGGAGTTGGCCGCCGCAGCCCTCTGCAGCCTCCAAAGCCGATCCCAGACGGAGGCGCGGCCTCCCCGCCCCGGCCCGGCCCCGGCCGCCTCCTTAAGCCCCTATGCCGTCGCGTCAGACGGGAACAGGTGGTGCTTCTTCACCGCCGCTGAGCCCGTGACGAATGCGGCCTCCTCTGGCACGTGACTGCACCCCGGCCGGAGCCGTCAGGGATACCCGTCCCGGGCCGTCCCGGGCCGTCCCGGACCAAGGCGGCGAGACAAGATACACACGCATTCCGTTTGGGATGGGAAAAGCTATTATTGTAACAGCAGGCCAACCCCCGCCTCGAGGCAGGCGCCCTAGCTCAACCCAGCCTGGCGACCTTCGCCACGCACACGCACGCACGCACGCACGAGGGCGCCGGCGAGTGGCGTGATCGTCAACGCCGCGGTGAACGGGCGACAGCCATTATCGATCGGACCGGCGATGTGATCGCCACGAATGATCGAACGACCGAATAGAGAGGACCAACTGGAGCGAGCGGACCAGAGAGTGGAGTGGACGCACGGGGGTGTGATGGAGCAGGTGTCAGTAGCACTCGCGCCACGTTGGAGCGCATATCAACAAAGCAACATACGGTTGGTTGGTTCTGCAGCAGCATTATTCCGAGGAACGATCCCGTTTCGACATCGCTTTAAATGGCATAATGTGGCGTCCCATGAGCGCGCGTCCCCGCCGCACCGCCAATATGGTGCCAGCAAACGTCGTATGCCGCGGCGAACCCGCGCCCCGAAATGGCGATCGAAAAAAGAAAAAAGGGACAGGAAAAGGACGCCTTTTACTTGACTCGCAGTCTGCGGGCGGGGGGCTCCCACCGCACCGCTAAAATTAGCGCCCCCGCCACTCGGCGCCACGCCCCGCCACGCCCCGCCACATCACACGGGAGACACAGAGGCCCCGTGACCAAGCTACCGGCGCGGCGCCCACGCGGGGGAGGGCCCCCCTTTCAAAAGCAACAAGAATAATGTTGGCTGCTCTGACGTTCCCGCGGGAATACCTATTACCATCGAGGAGAAAAGGGAAGCCTTTTGGGAAACCAAACAACAATCGCCCCGTTTCATTTGCGATTTACGACAGTATGCGTTTAGGAGTTCCTATATAGGATGTGGAGCATCGTGATAAAATTGGCATATAATGTCCGCGATGCGCTCGCGATGCGCGCCCGTCTTGGGATTAGCAGGGCAGGGGTTCCTTGCAACTGCGACGTTTATTTCCGTCCTGCTCAGCGCTCCGGGCGAGGCTCCGGGCGACACTGCGTGACATGGGACAATGGGAAATAAGGCCCCAAGGTCTGTCCTCCCTCGCCGCGCCGCCCGCCCGGAAAGCGCCCGCCCCGGAACTAAATTAAATTCGCATCTGGATCCGCTGTGTACAACACGAGTGCGCCGCAAGTGCGCGCCCCGGCCCAGCCCAGCCAGGCCCGACCCTGGCGGAGCGGCAATTTCTCATATTACAGTCGGCTCAGCGATCCGCAATGGCATAGCGCTGGCCCACACTGGCCCCCCCGCACAGCTGCTGCCCGTATCACCGTCTCTCTCTCTCTCTCTCTCTCTCTCTCTCTCTCTCTCTCTCTCTCTCTCTCTCTCTGAAGAGGAGCCGATAACGGAGCGATTTGCACGAGTCGTTGCCTTTTCCAGGAAGGACACGCGACATGGGCTTTCAGGAGCAAAATGGGGAAGGGGAGCAGGACAAGCGCATGGTCAGGAAGAAGCCGCGCAGAGGACGATCCATGAGGACTTATTTGCCCATGGAAAGATCACCGCGGGCCGGGCCGTGTGTCAAAATCAAAGGCGTGGGAAACCTACGCGCAACTGCGACTTTGTCTACACCATTTCTCCTTGAAACATCAGATACTCAAGACTGCCCTAGACAGCCCAAATCTGTAGACTCCTCTCCACTTCAGTGAATACCCCTTTGAGCTTTCAAGCTACATCCATGTGATCTGCGATAATGGGACAGCGCATTACAAAGGAATTACAGTGAATAACAAAGGAATTACAGCGAAGCAGTAATCGTAAAGCGATATCAAACATATTCGGTGTGACACTGTGGCAGCCATAACTACACTGTAAAATCCTTGAGAATGTCTGTGGCTACTTCGTTATTGTGAACGTTACAAAATGAGTGCCAAGATAAGGTATATAATGTATGCTTTCGTACACGAGAGTGAATGGATATAGCTGCAGGACGAACGTCTAATATCACCGATATTGGATGTATGCCGATTTCAGGGATTTCAGGACCATATTTTTATCAATCTGAAACAAAATCCCAACAAAATTTCTGATGTCTGATATCGGTATAATTTTTTTTTGCCCGGTATGAACCCAGCCCCATCCCACCCATCCCCATATGAACTTCCCTACCGGCTACGCGAGAAGTCCGAGGTCAGGTCAGGTTTGCCATTGATTGCATTTATAATATGGCAGGCTGCCTTTGGCATAAGTCATTTCTCTCACACTTGACTTTGTCAGCCGTTGCACGGCAAAAACGGCTGCTTGGATTTCAAGCAGGTCCCGTGTTGAGCTCCCATAAGAGTTCCTGAAAATCAAGCAGCCGTTTTTGCCGTGTTACACTAATCACGCACTTCTACACCTCAAACATGCGGAAGGAGCTGCGTGACCGTCTCGGGGGCAACCGTACATCGAGGGAGGTTCAACTGCAGCTGCAGGTTTCGCTCGCATCAGCTGTCGTAGCTGCTGTGTTGGTATTTGCACCAGTTTCTTTGGTGCAACAAAAAAAAGAAGAGAAAAACAGCCCCGTACGCGGCCGTGCAAACAGGGCGGTCACGTGCACCGTCAGCCGGAGATAGCGCAAGACGAGACGCGAAAATAACGGCAAAATATAAATGAAAAAGAGGGCGATGTCGGTGCTATATGCAGGGACCACGGCACAGCCAGGGTCACTCCCAAAGTCGGAAGCCATCGTGATGGAAAGGTCTTGAGGTCGAACGTCAGGTTACATGGGGCCCTGTCGGACAACTTGTGCTGTGCTGTCAATGCTCGGATAGCAGGGAGTCCTCCGGATAAGCGAACTGGTTCTGGATGTCAAACAGCTCCGGGGATCACGCCCTGCTAAACTTGGGGGTCTCCGACAAAAACCTTTGAAGATCCTCCAAGTAATGTTAATTGCCCTTCGTTTGGCCATGCGTGGTCTCCCAAAGGACACGGCACTCAGGGTCAGCGGCCCCACGGCCTTCCCATGCTCAACGGATCCAGTTCGTGCACCTCAGCGTCTCTCCGTCGCTCTCTCACTGATGCGTTCGGCCGGACGGCCTCTGCCCCAGATTACCATGTCATTACACCCAAGCAGGCGTGTCTGCCGCTCAGATAGTCGGCGAAATAAGCCATTACCAGTCCAACCAGACACATTATCAAAAGTCAAAGGCCGACCACAAAGCTGCACCGAGCCCGTTATGCAGTTACAACTGGGCTTTTAGATGCACGCAGTCGACGAGCTTTCGATCGGTTTTCACAAGCGCAGAATGCACAGGGTAACTCATTGTCCTATCCTAAAAAGCTTCACTCCCACTCTGCTGCCTGCCTTCCCCAAACGACCCCTTTCCCTTGTCTTGTGCCAAAAATAAAAATAAACTTCTAGTACATCATTTAGATAACTCGCCATTAAAAAAAATCTACTCGACTAAGTTTCCGTATCACGGGCACTCCGAAAGATACAAAATAAACGACAACTTTGACTAAAAATAAACGAGTGCACTCCCCCGCAACATAAAATCTCCCCCCAGGCTGTATCCAAGGGGAAATCGAATTCATTTGACCTGCTTCTTAATTATGACTCCCTCCACCATCCCAAACTCCTTGGGGTCAAACCAACAAATCAATTAGCA